GGCCTCACAGCGATGTCAAATAATCTCTTGATCACAATGACTGTATGGGTTTAAAGTCACATCGCATATTGAAGTGTTGCAGTCTGTTCCTCTGACAGTGATCAAGCTGTTCTAATACATTCCATAATATGCATGGAACAGATGGGGTGGGGGGGTTTAGTATTTCTTAATATTGCAGTTTCCTGGGAGAGACAAACAACTAAATGATAAAGCAGAACAAATGAGAGCGTGCAGCAATGGTTAGATACTGAGACTTTGAAATAGCAACTGTGATTATGTTCTGTAAATCAATAAAGAAATTCTACACACACAAAAAGTCTGTTAACATGCTGACACTTTATTTATTCAAGCCATTCGCTGTAATCTTGACGGGCACGGTGATAATCACTTTAAAGTGTTGTTGAATAACCTGCTTTTGGCGCCAGAAAATAACGCTGAGAAGGAGGATTGGGAAGGCTCACGTCAAAATGTACTTGTGCACAAATTACTGTGTGTGTGTCCTGCGCTGTAAATAATTGAATTCAACCGTATAGCAGCTTGTATTTGGTGCAACCCATTAAACTCAAGCTACGATCAATATGACTTTTTCAGTTTTTGTGTTTTTTTTGTGTTCAAGAAGGATGAAAAAAAAAGTTTCTCAGAGAAGAGAAGCTTTGCTGGATTAGACCTGATTGCATTTTCTGTGACTCAGGACAGGACACACTGGCTCTATCTTGAAGTCAGAGTCGCTCCAGTGGCTTGCCAAACCGCCAAGCTGTACACTTAACAAATTATTCGACATCATCTCTATCCCTTTTGATTAGATCAGCTCAGCAAATGTTCTTTTAAGTGGTCGTTCCTCCTCAGTGTTGATAGTAATTTGTTTCCTCAATATTAAGAGGTTTAATTCAGAAACTGGTGTGACAGGAGCTGCTTACCATTTCTGGAAGTGCTGTCAGATTTTATAGTGGGCCAGGCATTCATGTAAACAACTCATGCCTGGCTCTGGAGGAAAAGCAAATATAAATTATTCATATATTTGTTTTCTTCTACCACTTTAAGTTCTGTCCAAAAATTTTATTTGTGTGAATTGCCATAGTGATAGTACAAAATCATGCTGTTTAAGATGGGTATAATTTGTATGGTTAAAGAATTTGCCCCCCAAAATATACATGATTTAGAAATATGGCTTAAGTTGCTGAATTAACTGCTGTTTATTTTACTTTTCTTTATTGTCACTTAACCCAGTTTTTAGGGGGGGGGGGGTCCCATTTGTGGAGGTTATCAGTGGAGCAACATTTTAAAAGTAGGGCTCGACTTGTTAGGCACAGAGGCTGACTGTTATTTTGTCCAGTGAATCAAAATCACTGACGGCCTTTCCTCGCTTCTTCCCCCAAAGACTCAGCATAATGAGATAACCTCTGATCCATATACACTGAAGAGAGTAACTTAACTAGGACAAGAATTATACAGACACCAAAGACCTGATTTTTAAACTCTTTTAAGCCAGCGATTGCATTCTCTCATGGTCGTCTAACCAGGCAGAACCGACACAGACCCTCACTTTCTTTTCCCCTCTGTTTTATGGTGACATTTTAAACATCTGATATTTGCCACAAAACAACGTTTTATGACAGAGGGCTGGCTGATGCCACTTTTTGTTTCAAAGACTTTAGTTAGCATTACACTTTCTTACCCGTTTTTAGCAACGTAATGCTTTTGGCTCCATTCTTCCTTCTTGATGCCTTTTTGCCCTCTCTCCCTGTGCACACCTTTCACATTGCATTAATAATCACTTGCTGCTTTTTTTTTGCTTTTTTTTTCCCCGCACTTAGCAACACATTATTTTGGCAGTTGTTCTTGATGTGTGCCAAGCAGTAATGTCACAACACTAGTTTGTTTCAAGTGCCCTTTGGCTTCGAGAGTCTTCTCTTCTATGTGCGATCACTGCTCCGTTTGTGCTTTGCCTTCTGGAACTTCTTCCTTTTTTTTTGACTCTGTTCATGTCTCTTCTCCACATTTTCTCCCATCCTCTCATCTTTCTATTTTCCTCCTTTTTTTTTGCTGTCAATCATTTTATTCAACTAAAATGTGTCTTCTGTAATTGTTGGCATTTTCATCTGTGTACAATCCTACTTTTTCTTTTCATGCTTTACACCTTTCATCATTTTTCCATTGTGTGGCTTAAAAATCTCCCTCTCTTATTTCTCTTTCTATTATTATATTATAATTATTATATTATATTCCAACTACTTTCCCACAATATCAATTTACCTGCCCATCTTGATAAATATGCTTTTCCTGTCTTAACTCCCCTTTTATCCTTTCCCCTCTCCTCCCACTGTGTTGCAGGATATTCGTGGTGGGAATAGGCTTCTTCAGCCTGTGTTTTCTAATGACCTCTCTGGGGGGGCAGTTCTCAGCAAAGAGACTGGGGGACTCCCCCTTTACCATCCGCACAGAAGGTAATGACATGTTTTGTGTGTGACAATGAGAGCCCGCTTGCAAGTATATGTGTGTAAAAGCTCTTCCTCTGAATTAAAATGTTTCATGTTTTAAAATTGGTATACTGCATAGAAATCATGAGGAGAAATTCAAATACCACTGCACAACCAGTGAAATTGTGAAACATTACACCAGTGTGACCTTTAGTGGGAAAGCTGCTGCTTTTTTACTTTAAAGACTCAGAATTCATCGAAAGCTGCAGTGGTTGGATTAAGATCTTTATTTCAAAAAACAGAAGAAGAACCTTGGTGTCTCCACACCTTTGCACACAACAGTACACTTGAAATGAATCTTAATCCCATTAAAACACATATAATATGTACAGTGGCAGAAACAATAGAATAGAATTCGCATCATTTTAATGTCTCCATGGGACATTTTGCTTTACAGATTATATGCCAATACAGTATGTACATGGATCCATGTTTGCACACATGCATATGGTAAAACCCAACACTGGATCTAAATGCACACAAACTGTAAGGGAGAGGATTGAAAAACAACAGCAGGACAAATGACTCTCTGAATCTGTTAAATCTGGAACTATATGTGTAAAGACTGCTGAGTGTCTGAAAGACTGGTTTGTGCAGTTGACAGGACCATCATTTCTACTTTACTGTTTGTTTATATTAAGAATATCAAACCAGCAAAATATAGAAAATTAACTTGAAAAATAATAAAACATCTTCATCAATGCATGCCTGTATTAAAACTTCTTCATATAAACTGGATATTTTACCCCTCTGAGGGCCGACCACACCACCCTGTCATCTGTTCCAAGTTCCTGGACACCAGAGCAGCAGCTATTACCCCACACAACACCTCACCTCTACTCTCATCCCATCCTCAGCATGTCTTTCTGCCTACTTCATAAATGCCGCAGTGTTGCCTTTCATCTTTCTCTCCACTGGATGTTTTTCATGTTACTGAGCTGGTTTGTAGAGCTAAGGACTCCACCTGTCTCCTGGACAC